ATTAGCTCTAAATTAGTCTACAATCATAATATAATCAAACTATACTCAAAATTTACATTAGGTCAAAGGCAAAATTAACTAAAGTCAAAATCAATATTTAGTCAAAATTGAAGTCTAACTGGATCTAAATCTAATGGTCCGAAAGTCTAAATCAAATCAAAATCATATTTAAACAAAATTAATACCTGCTATGTCAAAATTAGGTGTTGCCTCAATCACATAATTCCTCACGGCTTCTCCATCATGCATGGTCGATGGGCAACCTCCTTAGTCTCAACCTAACTAACGATTAGCATCACTGACGATCCGCAGTCCCTCATTACGACATGGTCGTGCTCTCTTCAACAAGTAATACACGGTTTCTCATAGTATCTTCATACACCCTAGAACTCCCCCGATAGCACATGGTTGGATACGGGTTTAGGGTAGTATTAGGCGTTAATTGTATATCATAAGTTTGCATGTTAAGCTTATAGAAACTTGCCATCACGTCCAACACTCAATGAGTAGTCGTTTTATAGACTAGTGACTGTTTGTTTGCCTTATAAAGTTATTGTTTTCTTCTTCCTCTTTTACGTTGAATGTTTATTGAATTAATGTTTATTGAATTACCTATAAAGCTAACTTCTTCACGAAACATTATAACTTATCCACCACTCGTTTTCGAACTAATTGATTTTCTCTTTTACCGATCCTATGGGATCTATGCGAAGTTGTAACTAAGCTGACCATGTGTAGGCGGATAATGTAAGGAAACCTCATGACTTAAGAAATCTCAGCTAAGTCCATGATATTGGGATAAAGGTGCTTCATGATTTAGACATTTAGGCAATCTCAACTAAGTCTGCAACATTGACATAATGGTGCCTCACAACTTAGACAATCCCAGCTAAGTTTATGACATTACCACGAGAGTACCTCATGACGTAGGCAATTTCAACTAAGTCCATGATATAGTGCCCAAACGCCATGATGCTATTAATGCCGAAAGCCATCGTCGCAAACTAAGTGGTCTCTGACGACTCCAACAACCTTACAGTAGCCTGCAGCGGTCGAGTACCATTGCAATAACCCACCCAACGTGAGATTGCTGGATTAACATTGTGAAACTCAACCATCATACACTGTCGAGCTCCATATCATAACATCCTCCTTACTATCAACTACCCACCAGTTCGACGACTAGAATCTGGATGCCACCGATTTATACGTCGTCACTTTTGCTATGGCACTATCGCTCCCCTGCACAATAGTCGTTGTTGCCCATCGCAACTGTAGTTGACTTTTTTTGAGGGATCGCTCGACATGTTAGCCTGCATGCAACTACACCATTGGTGGTTATACATAATAGGGTAGGTAACCAAGGGTAGGTCGCGACCCTCCATAGAGCAGCTGCTGCATGTTAGCAATAACAGATCAGTTCTATACCATCGAGTGCAACCACTGAACATGTTGTGGTAGCACCGCTCCCCCTTTTCGTTGCCACTACCCATCACAACATTTGACACCATGGGACTATTAATTATAAGAAATAATTTTTTATGTAAAAAATTAGTGCCAGAATTTTGTGATGGTCTTCTATCGCATCCTATTCTATAATTGATAGGATGTGGCAGTGCCACAAATCAGATACGTCTATCACAAGTTGAAGATGGTCTAATAAGTGTTCCCTCCCTGCTCTATATTTCTCTGTTAGGGGGGAAGAAGATAAAACAACGAATCTTTTCATGGAAAGAAGTAATTCTTTAGAATAAGAGACTGCAATCCTTAGGAGAGTTATAAGAACACACCACTTTGTCTTGAATGTTGACATCTATCTAGACATTACAAGTAATGTGTCAGCCATCAAGCAGTTGCAATGTGGATATCAGCTGACGAGAGCAAAGACAAATGATGAACAGACTCCAGGAAACTGATGGAATTTAGCAACTTTTAATCTGCCGCCAGCAGCATGATTGAACACATCTGCTTAATAAGTCTCCTCCTAAGATGTTGATCTACTACTAGTGGTAATGCTGCTGATGCAGTTTTAGAAGCATGTCTTCTCGGAGTACAGACTGTACTGCTTTGCATAATGAAGATTGAATGTGACCTCCCTCCCTCCCTCCCTCGGGAAAGACCATAAAGAAGAAGTCTTCAAGTCCAACTAGTTAGCGTTAAGGGTAAGAACGCCAGAAACGGTCAAGTCTGATCGATCCAATTATATTTGACAAAGCAAAAAAATAATAATAATAAAGTTTTAGGAATCAATCTCGATTCTGTTTGATTTTTGGCAAATAAATATCAAGAAGAAAAGATATAAAAATATGATTACATTTGTTCTTCATCTTCTACTTGGTTTTTAATATATGATTATAGCTCTTAACCAGCTTTACTATCGATCATCTTCCTCCTCCAATATCTTATTATTGTGTTTCGATCTATCTATTTGTAGTAAGTAAAACAAATACCATCCATGAAACTTTGTCACGAAGAAAAGGAGGACCAGATATATCTTTCGTCAAGAAAAGAAATCATCATCAAAAGTTGGAGCTTCCATATGACTTGCAGCTTTTCTCAAAGTTCAAAAAGGTAATTGGAAAATCTTGTTGACACTCGCTGCTGGCTTTGATATCCTGTTAGCATGTTTTTGTTTTTTTGTTTTTCCTCCTAGAATTCAAAATAACAGAGGGTTAAAAATCATTGTTCTTGATTGACACTGAAGAAGAGAGATTCCCATATCCATTCGCCCAACCATAGATTCCTTTTCGAAGGTTTGAATGAAGATTCTCTTCTCTCTTCTCTCTTCCTTCCCAAAGACGCATGACAAATCGACAAGAACCCTGTTCAAGAAAATTAATCGTAGAAACAATCCACCAAAGACAGGGACGCTGATAGGACCGGCCATCAGCACCTTCGATCGGTCACACTTGCTGCAATTATCAGATTCCGTGGGATGTCAAAGTTAACACAAAAAGCAAGAGAAGAATTCTCGTGCAGGTAATCCAAGTCTCGGTCTTCATTATTTGAGCGTGACAAGTAACTAAATGATGGCAACACAATCATCTAAATTTCTCATCTCCGGCTTCTGATCCTTATCCCCATCTTCTTCCCACACCCCCTCAAACATCACGGAATGATTTCCATCCCGTCTGACCATCGGTCAACTGCATGATCGAATTAGTTAATTCTATTTACCAACTACTCATAATCTTTATGACGCCTATGACCTGACATCTTCTTCGCACTGTTTTTTCTTTCCTCTTCACTGTCATTCAGCCTTTGATTGGTAGTACATCCATTCAACTTCAATCTTTTGGGTACCGTGATCGTGATCGCTTAGCTACTAGTAAGCACAAAACCGTATGTACCATTCGCCAGTTCCTTTCCAGTTGAAGTTTCAAAAGAAAAGTGATTGATAGCCAAGTATTGCAACACCTCTTGTGTTGTTAAATATACTGCTGTTCTTGCTGCAAAATTCATAGTATTAGGACTTAATATTATTATGCGCTTTATACACCACCGGAAATAATTAAAAATAAAGAGAACAAATATGAAGTCGAACTTGATATAAGTAAAGTGATCCCAATGCATCTTTTGCTCCATTATCCAATTGCTGAAGACTAGATTTTTGTCATGTTGTCTCCCCTTGGAGTTTAATAATATATAACCAGTGTACAAAATGAAGCATAGCCACTAAAGAAAGCTTAGCAATAGACAATTAGGCAAATCCTTTTGAGTTGGTTGACTATAGCAAGTTGCTTGTGGATGAGCAGGTCATACATTCGATTATTTCCTAAAGACCGTCATTAGCAGTTCCAAATATGATATTAAAGGAAGAAGAAGAGCATCATCATCATCATGTTGCGAAATTGCTTGTTGACCAACAAATGATTGTTTATTTATCTTCCTTGAGATGCAACATTGTTTTTGTGTTTTTAAGAACTACAAAGTTAGATAGATAGGTAGATAGATAGATAGATACAAAAAAAAAAAGAGGAGGAAATTTTTTGTGAATCCATGATAGATATAGTCGTAATAATAATAATAATAAATATATATACATGTTAATTGACGAACACTTGATCCGCTAGATATAGATTTAAATCCTAATGCTTTGGTTACCTCCGGAAATCTTCAAATTATAGAAAGGCATCCGCTAGCTAATTCCAAACATGTCACATGGTGGTTGCTCTTTCTTTCATACATTTTATCTACCGATTATTGCCCCCTTTTTCTTTTTTCTCTTTTAATTCATTCCTTGTATGTCGCTCTCTCTCATTCATGAGACTTTTCGTGCACGCAACGTTCATAGAAGCAAAAGGCACGTCCGCTGCTCGACCGGCCTCCCTCCCTCCATGTCATATTTGTCTTACCACTGATTGATGCATGATGCAACGCCAAATACATCATCCAATTTGAACCACTCGTCGATTCATATCTCCTGATATACGATTGAAGGCACGTATCTGGAATCCATCTTTTTTCCTTCCTTTTATCATACATACTATAACACCTCTCTCTATCTCTCTCTCTCACTGGATACAAAGCCTAAACCACCAGTTGGATCCTCATACCAACAGGATCCATCCTCTCAAGATGCATCTTCTCAACCTAAATGGCTCGGTGACGGTGGAGGAGTTGGGACCACCGGAAAGTGAGAGCAATTACTAACTAGGTAGGGCATTTGCAGACGGATGGAGGCATTCATTTGTTGCGTTGCTTGGTGTAGGTTAACAACTCGTTGATCCCTTCCCTAAAGGAACTTGTTCGTGAAGAAGAATCTCGTGGGGACTCTCCAAAAGTGTTTCTTCTTCCCCACTCTTTTTTTTTTTCTTCTTCTTTCTTTCTTTATTTTCTGGTTTCTATTACTGCATGTCGCCACTCAACTTCGTGTTGTGTTACGAGTTCCACCTACCACTCCTTCTCGAGAAGATGAAAGCGACTTCTCAGGCTCCCACCACCAATGGAGCGAGTACCTGATTTGCTATATAGAGACCACATTGGGTGAGTTCAAAGTACCTCCCAAAATCTACGTCTGGGTCGAGATGGGGTTGCTTCTCTCTCTAACTTTCTTCCTTGTTGTGCTCACAGCAGCAGCAGCAGCAGCAGCTACCTCGGAAGATGTTTCCCACAGCTCGTGCTCTTCCAAATTCAGTGGTACTTCTCCTATATTTCCTCATGTTTGTGCTTCTCTTCCTTTTAAATCGAGCTACAAGAATAGAATAGAATAGACCGAAAGGAGAATTCATTTTGTGCTGCTTCTTTTTCTTTTCTCTTGGTGTGCTCAACCGATCGAAGACTGTATAAAGCTCTCATTCGATCATTAATTTTTCAGAGATGCTTCTTCCAAGACTACACATATTCCATCAAGGGGACTGTCAATTTGGTGTATGCATAGGTTTGCCGAAACATAATTCAGGAGAATAGAAAACATCGATTTTAATGAAAATTAGTGCCAATTGAGAGATAATCTAAAGTAATATACAGCATCCTTTTGCTCAATCAATCTCTTTCCCTCCAACGATTTGATGCTTCTCAAGTGTTAATGGTAGCTGATAGCAAATAGTTAATTAGGTTGTTGCTCATGGACCATCCAAGATGTGACAAAAAAGATTAGCTCGTCATCATGTCAATTAAAAGGACCAAATAGTCCTCCAATAATTAATTTTCTTAGCTTTATCATCAACAGCCACGTCTACCTACTTAATTAAAGAATTAGTGTCCATGCAAGAATTCTTTAATTTAGTACATCTCATGTCCTCCTCAAAATTATCATCCTTCTCTTTTTGGTTCCTAAATAATTGTCTTTTTATTTATTTTTTTAAGTCCTACGGGAATATTTCAATAGGAGGAGTATTTTTTTAATTAAAAAAAAACAATTACAATCAAATAAAGTATGACTTCACTTATTCCTCGATAATGGATTAAATAAATTAACATTTTCACAAATTCACGTATAATTTCTCTGTACTAGCTTACTTAATTTAATATTAATGAACGAAATTAAGTTACGAGAAACACTTTATCCGGCCCTGCATCAACAAAACTATTATGTTTTTCATCCAATCCATTAATCCAGCAGGCCGGCCCATATAAAACATGGGCTTCGATCAGATTGCTTGAACTAATGTATTTTTGTGTGTTGAATTGATTGAGCTGGACCCGGTCGAGCTCAATCGATAAAGACTGCTGTAACCTAGTCTTGCGTACGTTTGGTGACGTCGAACCATATTAACATGTTTGATATATTCGGACGTATACGACGCATCATATGTTTCTCGCTCTACAGGTGAACTGCACCTCCTCGATGGCTCCGGTCTCCGCCTCACTCTGCACCACCCCAGGAGCCCCTGCTCCCCTGCCCCCCTCCCCGACCTCCCCTTCTCCACCATCCTCTCCCACGACGAGGCACGCGCCACATATTTCGCCGCCCGGCTGACCAAAACCGTACCACGAGCCGCGTCACCACTCCTCCAGTCGGCCGCCGTCTCCGTTCCCCTGTCCCCCGGAAACTCCATCGGCGTCGGCAACTACGTTACCCGCATCAACCTCGGCACTCCCGGCAAGTCCTACTCCGTCGTCGCCGACACCGGCTCCTCCCTCTCCTGGCTTCAGTGCTCCCCGTGCAAAGTCGAGTGCCACCCACAGGAAGGCCCTTTGTTCAACCCTAGCTCCTCCGCCACCTACAGATCCGTGCCCTGCTCCGCGTCGGAGTGCGACAGCCTCGAGTCCGCCACCCTCAATCCTGCCGCCTGCACCTTGTCCAATGTCTGCGTCTACGAGGCCACCTACGGCGACGGCTCCTTCTCCGTCGGGTACCTGAGCAAGGACACGCTCTCTTTAGGCTCCGGCCGTCGGCTCGCTGACTTCGTCTACGGCTGCGGCCAGGACAACGAGGGCCTCTTCGGCCGCTCCGCCGGCCTCATCGGCCTCGCGCGCGACAGGCTCTCCATGCCGTCGCAGCTTGGGCCAACTCTAGGATACGGCTTCTCTTACTGCCTCCCCACCACGGCGTCCTCCGGGTACCTGTCGATCGGCTCAAACAATCCGGGGCGGTTCTCCTACACGCCGATGGTGTCGAGCTCGTTGGACGACAGCCTCTACTTCATCAGGCTCACGGGCATCACGGTCGGCGGGCGAGGTCTGCCGGTGTCGGCGTCGGCCTACACCAGCACGCCGACGATCATCGACTCCGGGACGGTCATCACGCGGCTCCCGGTCGACGTGTACGACGCGCTGAGCAGCGCGGTCGCGGCGGCGCTGAGGGGGTACAGGCGGGCGCCGGCGTACTCGATACTGGACACCTGCTTCAGGGGGAGCCTGAGCAGGCTGGCGGTGCCGGCGGTGGACATGGTGTTCCAGGGGGGCGCGACGCTGAGGCTCGCGGCGAGGAACGTGATGATCGACGTGGATAGCTCCACGACCTGCCTGGCGTTCGCGCCGTCCGGTAGTGTGGCGATCATCGGCAACAAGCAGCAGCAGACCTTCAGTGTGGTGTACGATGTGGGCAGGTCGAGGATTGGGTTCGCTGCCGGTGGCTGTGGCTGAGGGAATGCTGCTGATGGTGTTTGTTTACGTGTGCATGGTGTTCGTAGTACGTGGATAGGAGAAGAGTAAAGTGGAGTGTGGCGTGACAGAAGTTGGAGGTGATGAAGTATTAAGGTGCACTATGTAGGGCTTGATTGATTGTCGATGCAAGGTTTTGGGCGACAACATCTGTTGGATCTTATCGAAGTGAATCTTGGCGTAATCGAATGGGATTCAATGTTTGTGCTGCCCAAACGACGGGGATCGACCAAGTGATAAGGATGGGATAGGGCGAGTCCAATGATAAGCATAAAGCATAGTAGGTATTCATGTCGCATTGGGATGGAGGCCGGTCCCGTAGACCAATTAATGTCGATGCCAATCCGGTCCGTCGGGATGGAGGCGGTCCCGTAGACCGAATGGAACCCAACTGTTTCTAATTACAACGAGATCAGTTTGACTTTTGTTTCGATCCTATTTCAGGTCAAAGGCACATCGATGCTATGCTATGCTATATATACAGTACTTGTGTTTGTTTCTCTACCGGAAAAAGGAAAGCGCTGTGCTATAACACTATCAAATGTTAAATCTTATGGCACTCAGAATAGCATAATTATTTTTAAGGAATGGTTGGAAACGAATACATTGCCAATGTTAAATCTTATGCAGTCATACACCTTCCTAATTAAACTATCCATCGAGATCTCCACCGGTGTATGCATGCATGCATGCATGCATGCATGTCATACATACACCTTCCTAATTAATCATCAAGGGAATGATTAAGAACTAACTCTTCGTCCCCCATTCGAGATGGTGGTGCCATCTTTCGGAGGTTCCATTTCCATTTGTTAAGAAGCCCCCACCCCCCACCGCCACGAGCATTTGGGATGTTCTTCCTTTGGCTTACATACATCACACGGCCAACTAAGTCAGACTGGTGTTACTACTTTAATCAAACTTGGATCTGCCGAACCATCTCCCTTCCATCCCCACTTTGTTGCAAGCACAAGTCAAAAAAAAATCCGAGAAACAACGCTTCCAGACCTCCATTTCAACCCCACCCACCCAAAGGAGGAGGAGGAGAAGAAGACTAGGATAAGAGAAAGAGAAAGATAAATAGGAAACTAATAATTTCATGATACATTCTTCCTATTTTATGATGCAAACCAAAATAAAAAGGCAAGAAGAATATTATGGAAATACCAAGTAAACGTCCAACGAAAACAGAAAAGAAAGAAAGAAAGAAAGAAAGAAAGAGATGCCAGATTCCAACTCATACTGAATGCTAGAGATGTTGATCGGGTAATCCCAAGGACTTCAAAATCTATATTAAATTAACAGTTGGAAATCTTTATTGATGGTTCGATATTACTGGAAGAACTGATAGAGATGAGCATCTGCTATTTGCTAAAACATCAAAAATAATTCTACGTATAAATAAATCAATACATCAGTCAAATATCTCGATGGTATTTATTATTAACGATGAAATGATTCGGTGGACTGGACTCTTTCACGTCTGTCTGTATTCACAACATCTTCTTACATGACTGCTCCCATAAATTAACTCCTATTTACTATCGGAAGGTCTGCTTGCTTTATAGTGGAGACATTACTGACATGATTTATAATTTTTTTAAACCCCCCAAAATCTTCTTTTTTACTCCTCGATAATAACTTTTTTTTAAAAAAATGGAAGGATCATTTTTTCTTTCTTTCTTTTCTTTTAAATAATAAACAAAAACTCATTTCCATTCAGTTCCATCAAGAGATGATGAGTATCGTCTATTCTTCCTTAGCAAATATTCCTAGTTATTTTTCTTTCTCTATCGAAACAAACTCTACCATTTTATTTTCATCTTAAACATTTCAACATGATCATAGATAGATCGATCACCTGATCTTAGAAACCAGCAAACCAGCTACATAAATGATCGGCTAAGGGGATTACAAGTACAATAATCATCTTTCACTATCTCCAAATTATCCAATAAAACATTTAAGTTGATTAGAGTTCAAACTCTTGCTATAGCATTTTGTTCATCTACTAACTATTAGTTCGTCCTCCATGGTGATCTATTCAAATAATAATAATAATAAGCGTAATATTTATGGGTTGATTCCTCAGTCTTGAGGTATTTTCTTTCTTTAAAGGACAAATGTTTCAAACTGTGATCACTATAAATGGGAGGAAGAGGCGACCTTAGTCAATTTAAAGATACTTGTTAAACCAGCTGAGTCTAGAGTGGACCGGTCAACTCTTCATGGTCAATAAAACCAATTAATTGGATCCAATTTGATATTTCTAGATTCAGTAACTCAATCAAACCGGTCAAAGATGTAATTTTTTGTTTCTCACCTTATGCCACGTTTAGGAGGAAATCAATTGATAATTTCTTGGTAAATTCACCTGAGGAGTCATGACAAGTCCTTGTGTACATTAAATTAGTGCATTATACCTGGAAAAAGAAGCACTGTTCTAGAGAGATGTCGGATCTGCCGAGAAACTGGTGTCTGAATGAATGCATTGACCCAAGTCTTCTCAAACTTCGTGAGAGTTTAAATGATTACACTGTTAGTAGAATACATTCTGGCCTTTGTAATTTGCAAAGCAATTTCCCACAAGCATTACGATGGGAGGCAAACAGTTACCTTAGAATTTAGATTCAGTAAAATAACAAGCAAAGTCTCGTTGCCAGTAGTGAGAGAACCATAGGAGAATGATATCTCCATGGTTCAAATCTATGTGCAGATCTTAAGGCTATCACAAATTTGATTAGCTCACAGTATCAGCATAGTAAGAGAGAGAGAGAGAGAGAGAGAGAGAGGAAACACAAATGATAGTAGAGTCGGTGCATGATATGACAGCTCCTTCAAAATCCCTTCATATCCTTTGCCTCTCTCTCTCTCTATCTAAGTTGCTGTTTATGGTACAGTTTTGCTTTTAGTGGAGAACCTGATGCCATGGATATGTGTGAGTGGATGGTGCTTTCTGATCTCTAATTTCTTCCTATCCATTAACTGTGATGTGTAAAGGCGAGGAGAAGGTCTCCTGAGCTATACAGACTTCATCTCTTCCTGTCATTTGAGATCCATGAAGCCAGCTTGATTTGTTTGAACTTCCTTCAGCATCCATGCATGGTTATGGCCAGCTGGTGAAACTTGAGATGTGATTTTATGCATTTAGTTTCCTCCATAAATTTCTCTTCTTTCTTCTCTTTACCCCCAATGGTTTTATTCTGAGGATTCTGTGATGTACTGGTTACACATTTTCTTTGGGATTCCATTGTGATGGCTGACTGTTTCTGCTAGCATCAGCCATGTTCTCGTTGGATCTTCCTATCTGATTTCACTCTCTCTCTCTCTCTCTCTCTCTCTCTCTCTCTTAGTCTCTCCCCACTCCAATCTTTGGTTGCTTCAATTAGATCTTGGATTTATGTGGAGTCTCTGGTTCCTCCAAATGACAATGTTGCCTTCAGATTTACTGCTGATGGGCTTCCTATCATTCATACGCTGCTTTTTTGTTTGATTCTGAGAACTATTAGAGAAACAACTCTGTAATATCTTGGCCTGCTTTCCCTCTCAACTTGTATAAATTTCCAGTGATCTTCCATGGAAATCTTTCGACAGTTTTCCTACTCATGAGATGTTCTCTTGAGTTGCTCTAAGCTGCTGCTTCTCCCTCTTGACTTGGAGAACAATTTCCCACCCTGGTTCCTCTCTTCATCATTTCATGTGATGGGTTTCTTTGACAAAGTCTCATTTTCCTCCTCCTCCCTCCCTTGGTCTTTTCCTGATTTGACTGTGTTAGTTCTGCTGCACATAAAATGACACTTTGTAAGTTTCAACTTTCACTTCACCTTGCATTCCTCTTTCCATAAGAGGCCTTGAGATCTTAGGCCTTTAGGCAGCCTAATTCTCAACTCCATTGGTCTGAGCCCCATGAATCCAGTCTCATGTGTACATGAAATAATGCTCTCCAACTCTCCATCTTGTACTGCAGGTCCATGATTTCTACGTTGAGTTCATACCTTTGCCCTTAGCTTCATATCTTCTCCCCTCATTTTGCAGGCATCAGATTCAGTGAAGAGAGGAGAAAATGGGTGGTTGGTTTTGTGTTGGTTGCTGGTGATCCTGTTGTCCTTTCGAGGGGTTATATGGAAGCTCAAATCTTTTGTTATGCTGGAGGCTAAGCACACTACTGCAGGATCATCCAGAGATCATTGAGAGGGCCTTCTTTAGATGTTATCCACTGAAAACCCTGCAGGTCCTTCGTGTTCCTCCAAGCTTCCAGCAGTGAGAACTCATGTGAGGGCTTCTCCTGACAGCCTTCCCTCCCAAGAGAGAGATCCTGTAGTCCTTCAAGAGAGAAGAATCCCAAATTTCTCTATAAGGTAACACTGGTTCCTGTGGAGACATTATTGTTGGTATTATCAATCAGAACCCTCCTTTTTCTCAACAAGTTCTTTCTTTAAATCTTCAATTACAAATGTAATTTCTGCATCTCTAGTTCTAAATCAGCACTTTTTCCATATTGTTCTTCTTCCTGGAAGTGGCTATTGGTGGGCATGTAATTTGCTCTGCTTTGTTATTTTGTTTACATTCGGTCTCTGGGGATTTATCAACACCAACTAATTGGTTTTGCTTTGTGATTTTATCTCTCGTAGTTGCGTTTTGATCAATGAAATGATATATGTGGGTGTTCTTTTTAGATGTCAGGGTTATGATTTTTATTCATAGTACAGTTTGTCTGTGGGCTTAACTAATCATGCTGTCTGATGCAAAAGGCTGTCCTTTTTGTTACTAGTGACACAACTCTGTGTCTGATTCCTTGATCACAAAGGAAGATAGTATAGCAATCAGCATATGCCATGATTAATACAAGTTCATAACAATATTTGGTTTGCTTAGGACTTGTTCTGAAACTTGTGATTTGGTAGCAGAAACTAAACTTATCTGATGTTTTCCATTCAGAGATTATGTTTTTACATCAAGGAGCAAAGGAATTGAAGCTTCTTGGCCATTCGCTGCACAGTTCTTGCAACCTTACTCGAAGCACGGTGTCAATGATTTATTGCCACCATTTGAGAACCCTGATACAGTGAGAACTCAGAGTCTCTGCAAGGTAGCACAATTGGTTCAGCCTGCTGCTTGTTCAAAGCCAGAAAGAATTGCAACACACTTTGATGTTCTTAAGCCTGCAGATGCTGGCCCTTCTGATGGAGCACTTGCTAGCGTTCTACAGGATCCAACCATAAATCCATCACCAGAAGACGGGAAGTCTGCATTTTGTCGAGGATTTACTGTGAATGAGCTGAGCCATAGTGATGATGGAACTTCTCTGACAATGAGAACACCTCAACAAGCTAAAGAGATTTCAAGCCAGATCAGTGGACTTCCGTGCTTGGTATCATTAAGTGGAAGCTCTTCCAAAGCGCAGTTTCAGCCAGAGGTTATTGATCTTGGCAATACTCCTGAGAAGTTGTGTGAACCTTTGGAAAAGAAGAACAGGTTGATACCCAAATTGGATACCATCTTGGAGACTAGTAAAGCAGAAGATCTTGCAGAAATGCATTCTATAGCTTTGAATGTTTGCCCTGTTTGTAGAATATTTTCCTGCACTTTAATCACCACTTTGAATGCTCATATGGACCAGTGTCTTTCCATGGGGTCTAACTTTAAGGCGGCGACGACGAGTAATGTTCCCGAACATAGAGTGAAGCCAAGAAAGAGGAGGTTGATGATGGATATCTATGCCACTTCTTGCCATTGCACTCTTGAAGACCTCGATAAGAGGAATGGTACAAGCTGGGCTTCTGAATTATCACTAATTGCAGCACCAGTTAATAGCCTTTGTGCTGCTCACACCAAAAGGCCAGAGGTGTCACCAACTGATTCTACAAATAATGGAAATGGAGCAGTTTCTGCCGATCCAAATGGTGTAAAACTTAGGATTTTATCTAAATTCAAAGGTCAAAAATTGTCAAAGGAGAGCTTTAAGTTGAGGAAGCATGCAAAAGAACCAAAGGAAAACAAGGATAAGCATTTTGCATCGAAACACTTGGAAAATAAGAAACTGAAGGCACAGAAACAGCAATTGATCTCATTGAATATGCTGCAGTCACAGGTATTTTTATCCTCGCATGCCATTGTTCATGTTTATTCTAAGCAGAAGAAAAGAGAGAATATTAAATTCTATAAGTAATTTGGATATATCAAATTGTGTTGCACAAGGGACTCTTTTTTACTTCTTCAATTAGATACTTCATTTTTTTTTTTGCATGATCAAATCATAAATCTATTGAATTCTGAAGCAAAATCAATCCAACATGATTATATTTATAGCATCTAGTTTGATGGCCTTATTAATGTTGCTCAAGGTACCTTTTCTCTTAATTTATTTGGAGTTGCAATTGATGGTCAATTTTTGGCCCTTTCAAAGTAATGAAATTTTCTAATCAAGTAGATGGTTCTTTTTAATTTTTACTACAACCTTTTATTTTTTTGAGATGTTCAATGGCAACATGCAACTTGCAGTTTAATGTGATACAAGATCTAGTTTACATGCTCAATGTGATATTTTTACCCCAGATTTCCATTCCATAGCAATATTGCAATTTAATATCATGAATTCTATAATGTGATAACCAGATTCAAGCTGCAGCCCAAGTAGATTGTGAGACAGAGAATCATCAGAAGAGTGATAAGTCTCCATCACATGTATCAGATTCAGGAGACCATGAAAAAAGAGCAGATATCCTGCAAAAAATGAACAAAAAGGAGAATTGTAGTACCTTGGAGGATATGGAATCTATAACCAGCGAACTCCAGTCCATGAATGGAAACTTGACTGGTTCTCCAGGGACAGAGAGAGTTAATTTCCGGCATAATCCAGTTCATAGCATGGATGAAAGTAAGAGAGATTCCCCTGAGCTACCTTCAAGTTCCAGATGGCCTTCTGAAGGTACTAATTTGGCAAATGGTATTATCCTGAAATTGTCAAGATCATCAGGGAGCTTGATATGTTCATCAGTAATGAAATCAAAAGAGACTGACATGGCAACTTGGGAGGATTCTGATAGCAATTCGAACAGCAAAATGGTTCTTTCACGGAGTTGCTGTTCATTGTTGAAGGATGAAACGAACACAACTTCGAAGAAGAATACTGTCGTAAGGAGTCGAGTTTGTTTGCAACCTAGGAAACTTGGAGCAATTGAGAAACCATTTATCTCTAAAAAGTTTCAAAAGCACAGGACTGATATGAAAAAAGGAGAAAACTCACCATCTAACAGTGCGGGTGTGTGTAGTCCTACTGTTAATATTCACCTTCTTAGAACAAGAGAGACAGGAACAATGGGATCTCATCAATCTTATACTCCAAGTAGTATTACAATGTTTGGAGGAGAGGACATGAATGAAGTATCACCAAGCAGAAGAAATGATACAGAACATTTAAACATAGTGGAAGAGCAGAAAAGCAATACTTCGAATAATCTTTCTTCAGGAGCTGAATGTTCTGACACTGAAATTGAAACTTCTGACTCTGGAGATTATGCGACTAGAATTTCCATGATCAAAGCTGTTCCTGAAAACTCAGAAAAGACCGAACTACCTTTCAGCACCAAGTTGGGTTCTCCTTCATGTGTAGAACATGCACAGACTACATCTGAAATTGAAGCCCATGCAGAACAATTGAAGCAAGCATTTGATGAGCAACAGAGGTTTTCTGGTGAAGGATCATCAATTGAAATTGGAAACCAAGAGATCCAAGCCAAAAAAGATTGTTGCACAATTCAGCTTAAAGAATGTCAGGCTGAGACTCTTTCAGTTCAGGAGTCTAGTGGTTGTTTGACTGGTCATGGTGATGAGGGGCTTGAAATGCCTGAAAAGAATTCATCAATTGACTCTTTTAGAATGAAAGCAATTTTTTTCAAGAATTTGTCCAGTGAAGGGGAACCATCTGGATCACCTGTGTCAACTGATTCCAAATCCCAAGTTTCAGAGGTAGAACCATTGTCCATAGCTGTTAATACCCGAGAGAGTATACATTTAGCAACTCCATCTGCAGAAAGCATTGAAGCAACTCAAGATAGGAACTTGAAGAATTGGAAACAAGAAAACTCAAACATCAGACCACCACATCAGTCAGTTTCCGTGAAAAGTCCACTAGATTTTGCGGTCAAGATATCTTCACCTAGGCCATCACCTCAATCACAGATTCATTCTGTTTCCAGTCCTATACTAAGGTTGATGGGCAAAAATTTGATGGTGGTGAACCATGAAGAGATTGTGCAACCTCAAACTACTGCATTGGATTGCACACAATACGTGAATCATTGTGCTTCTAGCAACAATCACTTGAAGCGTGAGATTTCTCCATATCAGCATAATCAGCTTTCGAGTGGATCTCCAGCCATTGGCTCAGGTTTACCAATGGGTGATCACCAGATGCCCCTAGATCTCCCTAGCACCTCAGTTGGTGGCTTTGCATGGGCTTCACTGCAAAATGGTCGCAGGGATCAACAAACTCAGCAGAGGAAATCGAGTACAAAGCTCACCTCATCTCATCATACACTGGACAAGGTGATTGTGATTGATGGCTCACCCAAGCATGAGGCTGATCTAAAAGGCTGCCTATCAAATTCGGCAACCACTTTGCCTAATAGGCCATTCTCCTGCTATCCATTGCAACATCATATTAGAGATTGCCCAAGAATCTTGTTTCCGAATGCATATTCAAGTGTCAGTGCCAGTTTCATGAATCAAGGAATCACTTCAGAAGGACATAACCTTTTTCTGTCAAGCCCCACCGTGTTCCAGTCTCCTACAAGTCAAAAGGGACCTTTGATGTATTACTCGCGAATCCTGCATTGATCCTACATTTTATTGTGAGCATAAAAAGGTTTCCCCTCAAGTTTCAGAATTCAGTATCTGCGGAGGCCAAGCTGCCGATTATGCAGAGTTTCTTTGGCAGATTGCTTCTAGTACAGCTAGAAAGTGACAGTTATCAAATGAATCAAGCTGGCAAAAACTTAATAATCAGAATCTCAAAATAGATCATGTATTTAATTTGTTGTTTTCCAGCTGGTTTTGAAACATTTTCCTTCTTTACAATTTCAGTGCATTGGACTTTAAGCAAAACCTAATGTGAAGTGAGAATAATCAGTGCATCACCAATGCCTAAAAGTTTCTCCTGACAATGGCTAAAAGTTCCTCCTGACAATGGCTAAAAGTTTCCATTGCAGAGTGAACAATGTTTGTTCTTCTTGTTGCTAATAAATTCTGAACTGGAACTTGTGTATTCTTATTCTGCTTTTGCTCAGCAACTTGCATTATGCATCAAATTCTGATCTTTTATAGATTTTGGGGATGGTTCATATTATGCAATGCCTATATCCTCCATTTTCTCCTTTAAATTCCTCCTGCAGCTTATCAATAATGTGAGACTGCACTTTTCTAATATCAATATATGTTCATGGATTACCTTTCAGTTTTATCCAGTGAATATAAGTTGTTGAGACTAGTAAATGGTAAGCGGACACAAACTGGTGCACCAGTAGTTCTTAGTAAACACTGTTAGGAATCAGGATAACATCATGGGGGAATATTATGGTGTTCATCAAGGATTAACACGAAATCCTAGAACTAGGTCGAATGTGTTCCGAGGATTCTTCATATGTAAGCACATCCATTTCCTAATTTCTTTCCATTATGTAACTGGTTTCTGGGTTGATTCAAGGCTTTACATGCTCATCTTTTACTTGAAGCAAGAAACAAAAGGTTTTTTCACAGATGAAATTTCAACAAACATGACTGGTACTGCTACATGTTGGTAGATATGACTTGCACCCTCAGATCTCTATCGAACAATGATACAGTCAGTCCATTGCAGGATGATGCAAACGACAAGTGTCCGCTGAAAGACACAAGATAAAGAATTCTGTGCAGGTAATGTTCAGATACAGAATTCTACCAGCAGAGAGGACCTCCTCCTAGTGGAAGTAGAGGCTGGTCAGGATGTTGTTGTGCACTGGATCAGCCAAGTGATCCAACAGGTTGTGAGATGGCCCAACCCCGGTGACAAGCCCCTGCCCAGAGTACTCCGGTATGGCCAACATAGCCAGCGTCCCATTCTTCACCTCCTTCAGCTTCAAGTCCTTGAGTGACTTGTCATCCTTCCCAAAGCCAAGAGGGTTGAAGAAAGGTCATCCAGGGTAAGCAGGGTCTCCTGAGCCACCCAGCCCCTTCTCCAGCCCTAAGAAGTACTGCTTTCCCATGGTGCCCGGCTTTGCCCAGTCCTGGAACCTCCTGTGCTCCGCAAACCCCATGAGCGCCATCTCCAGCACGAAGAGAGTGTAGGGGTCCGCCCAGTAGACGCATGTTCCTGCAGGTGGCATTGCCCCGGTCTTGAACCACGGAAGAGCAGTCTCGGCTGGTCTCATGCCGAGCTTCCCCAGAGTCTCCGGCGCGATCTCACCTGCGGCACCGAGCATGGCAAACCTTCCGTTGATGATCTCCCCTTAAGCTAGCCATTTGGGCTCGATGAGTCTTCCGGTGCCGTCGGGGTCCGACGGGCCTAGTGGATCGAAGCCATAGTCACCAGGGAGGCTGCAACGTGGGACTCAACACATGAATCATTGTCCACAGCCCGCAGAAACAGTGGTGGAAGCGTAGGTTATGCTCCATGTCAGGAAATATAGTCGACCTTCCATCCAAGTAAGAGAGGGATTGTTGGGATGCAAACCAGAGTTGCCTATGTGCTCCTTTTGACAAGTTGACAAGATGATTCATGTCAGCGAAGAACAGTTTATATACAACAAGTCATTAAAGTCGCCCAAGAGTGCATTCAGTGATGTTTTCCCAAGTCTGATATCAAATCTAATGCATGAAATATATCTGCTCCTCGCATGAAGTTTGAGAGATGAAAATATGAACAAGCGTATGGCCTTCAGAGGGGGTGTGGAAGCTGCTCGAAGATGTGGAGGGGTCTTCCTCCTCCGAGGAGATGTCTCCCAGCTTCCATTGGAGAGAGAAGAGCTTGAGTTGCCATTGGTTTGTCTCCCCTCAGACAGAGAAGCAATTCAAGAGAGAGTTTGCAGTGGCGGTGGGAGTGGCAATCTAAACGAGACACAGAGATGGAGTATGGAAGATGAGGAAGGCTCCCATTAAACTGCCCGATAGGACAACACCACCTGGTGTGCCAAGTGGGGAGGCTATGAATCATATTTGAGATCACATCCCACAACCTAAGGCTGGAGAGTAGGCTGATTGATGATATCTTTAAGTGGTTTGCATGAAATCTTGGCGAAAGAGTGTCATTATAATTCTTTTATACGTTCAATATCATAAAACTCCTATCTGTCTGTATCTGTCTGTAAGCGTTCAGAGGACATACTTTGAAGGGTGATATCATAGGGGTAATGTATCAATTCAAAACTGCATGTAACTTTTTCTATCAAACACAATAATACTATTTTATTTATATGCACCTATTCATGATTTCTTTCCCCCATTTCAAGATATATAATAAAGAAATTATTTTCTAATATCTGCTTAATTTCTTCGTCCAATAAATATTTTTTTTAAAAAAAATATATTATATTAAGTGACGTATACGAGGTTGATACTTGGATTCGAATATGAGATCCATCATTCATAAAACAATAATGCATGCATTAACTAATATGAATATTCCAACAAATACATCGATTTTATATTGTAGAGACGCTCACTTTAAAAAAAAAAATTATAATTGGATATTCTATTTTTTATAATTCTCTCTCATAAGTTGGAAGTCACTTATAAAATCAACATAATACCAATCTGATTAAAAAAAGAAAAAGAAAATGAGAAGAAGTGACTGATGGAATGGTGGAAAGAAAGACCAATGCTTCTCAATAATGACACAAATAAATTTCTGTCTATTTATAGGGATTAGATGATGCATTATTGTACCTATTCAAAGGTTCATGCACTTGCGTTAGTAGTGACCTTATTCAATACAAACTTTCATTTTCTTTTTTTGCACCTTCTCATGGCATCTTTTCCTAAAACAAGATCCAAGATTATAAATTAAGTATATTTTATAACAAAATATAAGCTTGCTTTTTAGATTACCAAATTCAGATGACTTCAGTGATTATGTTCTTTCCAATAAACACTGAGATTAAAATGCTTGAGTTAGTAAAATTTTCCTCTACATTTCATACATTCTTTGGTGCTGCTTGTATTATTGCTTTAATGTCATATTAATGGTTCCTCCTCTTCTTCTTTCAAAGATAACAAGGATTGTGCCGAGGAGATCCTCTTTATATCCTTGTTTGCTTAATTGAAATATTTTAGATATGCAAATAACTCTATTTTGTATTAAGTGAACCTTCAAACTTTATTATGTATACCGATAATATATATATTACTTTGGTTTAGAGAGCCAACAGCAAATCTTATCATTCCATCCTTGAAAATATTTCAAACTTGTGAAACTCTCACTAATCAAAAGATTAACTCTTCTAAATTTAAAATTTATTTTTCTTGACGAATATTACGAAAAGTAGCTTTTCTTTTACATACCTCCGTACTCTTTATCGCACCGAGGCAAATGGTGCAATATTTAATTTCTGCATCGTATGTGACTGGAAAACAAGTGCATGTATTTTGAAGGCGACGATGCTGAAATCTCGTCGTTAAAACCAGTAGCCAATAATGCAATCGAGGATTGGAGATGCAGTCTAAATCTACTATTCTGGGTGTGGTCTCCTTGTGGTTAGAGCTCCGGCACCTCGTTGAGGTCCAAGTCAAACAGCCCACGTTTTGCTCCCC